CAAGAAGTGTCAGAACAATGGAAAGCAAAATTGCTTAATTGTTTCCATAATTCTCCTGTTTTAAAATATTTTGTTTGTTTTATTATATAATGATGAAATTGTTTACAAAGTGGACAGTAAAACCAAACATTATAAACATTTCAATCACTAAAATATACAGTCAGTTCACTTTATAGTATATTCTATGAAGCACTTTGAGACGTCTCGATGACTTGATCAGGCGTTATATCAAATGCAAGGATTATTATTATTATTAACCAAAAAGTGAAACCAACAACGCAGTGAGATAAGGAATAATGAGATGTTTCTTGGTGAACCATCATTGAATCTGTAAAACTTTCCAAATAATCTTGGATGCACAATTAGTCAGTCGGAGAGAACCACACGAAAAGATCATTATGTGGATATTAAATAATTTATGAAAATACAAAAAGTGTTAACTGAAATTTTTTTTTAGAACTTTTAATAGAAATGTGGCTTAAGATGCATAGCAAAAGGTGGATAGTATTGTATTCAAGGAGAAAACTGCTCCAATCATTAACTGAAGGTGTGGTAATACAACAAAAGTACCAGAGAACGGTTCTTTGTTTGCAGGAATAAATCTTCAGGGAAGAATAAGCGAGCAGAGCTAATGAACTATAAAGAATATTTCCAGCATGAATAAACTCACTTCAGCTTCTGTTAGTCTAACTTTGTAAAACAAAAGTCCATTATTCACTCTTCACTGGGAATCAGTTGGTGCATGACTTGATGAAACCTCAAATAACAATTCAAATCTATTCAAAAGTATTCATCTACCTTACTACTAAACAATACCTTTGTTTTTATTTAAATTAATTTGTTGGGATTATTTAATTCACATCACTATAAATGTAATTTTTTAAATTAATAATACATAATAACCCTTGCATTTAATATCGCACCTTAGCACCTTTCATGTCTCAAAGCACTTGAGTTACTGTAAAGTGTAGTGACTGTGTATTTTGTAGGCAACTAATTTGCACACAGCAGTATCCCACAAGCAACTATGAAGTGAATGAATAATTTTATCTAGGGATAATTGGTCAGGACACAAGGAGAAATTGACTTCTATTTTCGAATAGTGTAATGGGATCTTTTAATATCCACCTGGACAGGCAGACAGGACCTCGATTTAATGTTTCATCTAAAGGATGACACCTCCAACCACACAGCAAATCCTCCCAGCATTGTGCTGGAGTGTCAGCCAATAAAAAATTAAAGTTTAGCCAAGGGGCTTGAACCCACAACCTTTTTGATGCAGAGATGAGAGTGCTACAAACTGAGCCAGGCTCCGAACAGCTCAACCAGTTTTAAAGAAAAGCTGGTTGAAAAAAATCCCAAATCACATTTTTGATGCAACAGTGACATCATGTGGGAAATAATGGATAATAATTTCAAAAAACATGCTGATAGTATTACTCTGTTATACCAAGTCCATACAGGATACCAATGGTGATTTAGAAACCTGAATATTTCCTATTAAATGTTGCTTTGAATCCTGGCTGAATAAACAGCCACTGGTGAATAATTTGGAAAACTGCCCGCTCTTTTTGAACAGTGTCACAGCGTTTAACTTCCAACCTGAAGAAGCAGCAGATAGGACCTGGGTTTAGTATCTCATTTGAACAGCAAGTGCAACTATGCAGTTCTTTCTGAGTGCTGGAGTGCCCACCTGGACTATGAACTGGAATCTTGATGTTGCTTGGACCTTCTGACCCAGGCGAGGACCAAGGATAGAGCACTGAGGAACACTGCACAAGATAGTGTGGGGGCTGGAGGAGAAGCATTTGTGGAGACAAAGTGGAGACGGTGTGAGAGGTAGGATCTGAACTACTCAAGGACAGAACCATGAAGGTTGGGGTGAGAGGAGAGTCGGTGGAGGACAATAGAGTGGTCAATGGTGTCAAACGCAGCAGAGAGGTCAATGAGGACACAGAGGGGGCCCTGGTCACGTGGATATACTGAATGGAAGATATAAGGGGCATTAGCAGTGTTGATGCCTATCAGGATGTAGGGTTCTTGTCGTTCTTTAAGAGCAGTAAGGTTCCAAACCACATTAAGCTCGTGACATATGAGACATGTGTCCAGTCAGTTCTCCTTCATGGTTCTAAGTTGCTGGGCATGCAAAGATTTCCTTCAGCCCATTTGTAAAGTCCAGGATCAAGCAGGAGTAGCGGATGCAGGGTGGGAGAGATTCCTCCCACTCAGCTCATGTTAACTCTACAAGCCAAAGCCCTAACAAATAAAATGGTCCTAGTTAGACATGCAGTAGGAATCTTGACAGACAGTGCTTTCAAAAGCAAGCTATGTGGTTTTAGACTCCAAGAAATCCCAACGCACATTCTGGAGAGTGTGCCCATTCCATTCCATATGTAAGTGGCATGCATATATGGTTCTCAGTCTGGTTTGGATACTCTTAAACATGATAATAATAATAATACTAATCCTTGTATGTGATATAGTGCCTTATCACATCTTCTAGACGTCTCAAAGCGCTTCACAGAATAGACTATAAAGTGAATTGACTGTATATGTTGTGGGCAAAAACGCGGCAGCCAATTGTGCACAGCAGTGTCCCACAAACAGTCGTGGATCGAGTGACCAAATTATTAGTATTATTATTTTGAAGGGATGATTAGCCCTGGAAAGCAATCCGCCAATCGACTAACAATCGGGTTCTTACTTACTGTCAGGTAAACAGAGGCATATGGAGTAAAGAAACTTGCCCAATGTTTCATCTTGCCCAAGAATCAAACCCAGGTCCTCTTGCTTGCAAGGCGAATGCTCTACCCACTAAGCTACAAGACTCGTACAGACATGATGTTGGATTTCTGCAGATTTCAGATACCCGAATGACCAAAAATAATTAAAATAGAAACCATTTTGGTATGGTATTTCGATAGCAACAATTCCCACAAAGATACTTATTGACATTTATTAGCAGAATAAATATATATTTTGCTTACTATTCAATTATCTTTGAATTAAGAAGGAATATTACGTGCATAAACCATTACAGTGTACATTTGTATATAATTAACAGTAACAACAACTTGCATTTATACAGCACCCTTCACATACAGTAATGTTTCAGAACATTCATAGAGATGGCGTCGGACATCAAACTTGCAGGAAGAAGGGAGGTGATCGCAGCCATGGTCAAAGAGGTAGGTTTTCAGGTAGATTTTGAAGACAAATAGAGAGGCAGAGAGATTGAGAGAAAGTATTTCAAAAGGTGAGCAAATAGTGGTTGAATGCTTGCCCACCATTGGTGGGGCAGAGTAGACAGTAGATGTGCAGCAGTTCCGAGTTTGTAGGTGAGATTAAGGAGCTTGACATAGATTCACTAGGAGACAGGAATAATAAGCATGCGAAGCTTCATGCAAGCAAGGACGTAGTCGACAGAGTTTTTATGATGAAATGGAACTTATTGATGCTGGACCTTAGGGAGGCCAGTGAGGATGGGTTTGGGTGCTGTAGGTGTGAATGAAGGTTTCAACAGCGTACAGCATGAGATGAGGCTGGCAATTTGGTGAAAATGTAGAAAATTGACTTACTCAAGAAATCTGAAGGTACAACCTAACATCAAGAATGAGTCAGAGAGAGAAGGTGGGAAAGTTGAGGCAAGAAGGAGGTATTGGTGGGAGCTGAAGAGAATAGCTTTAGGCTTGAACATTTAAATAATTTTCTCAACACAATCTAACCGTATTATTACAAAAATATTATCAGTAATGTTGTTCAATATCAATATGCAATGATGGTTCTAAATTAAGTATAGGAATATGAAAGACTGTAAAGGACCATTTTGGACCATCTGACCAGCCTGATAACAGAAAAAAAAGGAAACTTAAATTAGAACAAATTCTACACTTATCTCTCATATACCTCAATTGAATTCTTCACCAATTAGGGTGCTCAATTCCAATTATCAATTTAGTTTACATTTCCACTCCTATTCTCGTTCTTCAATTTGGCCCATCGAGCCGGTTCTGCCACAGACCATTCCGTCGCCCAACCTTCTCCAATTCCTTCTCCCGGCCTTTTTGTCATATACCTTAATGTTTTATGCTCTAAGTATCTATCCACCTTTCTCTTAAATCCCTCAACGTATTTTTCATCCATGACTTTCCGGGGCAGTGCGTGCCAAATTTGTATCACTCTCCATGAAAAATCTCTCCTGAGCTCTGCTAACCAGCTAACCTGTTTCAGCACAATTTTAAGATGATGTCTTGTAATTGATGGATCTACCGGGAGGGAAAAACGTCTGACAGATTATTCTGTCCAACTCTTTCATAATTCTAAATACTTCAATCAACTCATCCCTCAGCCTCCTAATCTTCAGAGAATACACTCACATCCTAACCAGACGTTCACTGTTATATCTCAGCCCCCAATCTCTGGTATATTTTGTATTAGTCTACATTCACTGTAATGTGAAGAGACTATGGAATTTGCAGGCAAATCAGCAGCCCATTTGCTCACAGCAAAATCCCACAATCAGCCAATAGTTTAAATCTGTCATATATTTACAGATTATTATACTATATAAGAAAAATCACCCAAAAATGTCTGTTTTGTGTATGCAAAAAATACACCATCCCATTTTCCATATTTAGTACGTACTATATAATTAAGACAATCATTTATTATCCTGCACTATAATCCTTTATAGTTTAAATTACTAAATCTGAAGAGAAACTCTGTGGTCTAATGAAACTCAAGTGTTTCAACTGTGAATTGGAAAAATAAGGAATGGCACTAAATCTTCATAGGAAAATAGCATAGAAAGTGAGGTTTCTCATGATTTTACCAGAATCAGTGCAGGAAAAGCAAACATGTGTATTAATTCCCCAAATTCTCATTATATACAAAGCATCATACATGAATATTATAAGTGCAGTCTGTGCTTGATCTTGATGTACTGGAATCCATCCAAAATGATTGTATGTCCATTAGTGAAGTGGAGATCAGGAAAGAAATTAATTCAATTCAAGCTCCAAATGTGTCTCTTTGAAATCCAAGGAATTGTTATTTCTGGTTACCATAAACGGTCTAAAAGAAGGGGGAAAAAAAGGGTTCCTAAAAAACACCATTTAAATTATAATCCTGTTGTAGTATGTATAATATACTGTATTAATTACCTTTATTGAAATGGAATTGCTGTTCATTCATCAGAGTGACTTCTCTCAATAAGAAAGACAATGTTACAATAATAATGCATTTAATGTAGCATCTTTCACTTCAGGAGAATGTGTTTCACAGGATTTATTGTAAAGTGTAGATTATTTTTATACGTGAATGTAGCAGTTAATTTGAACACAAGATTGTCCCGCAAACAGCCGTGAGGTTTTTCTTCATTCTTGAATGTGCAGGAAAACATGAATTGCTCAGCAGAAAGGAGATGTTATTGACTCACAGGATGCTTTGAGGTGCACTATATACCAACTGTCTTCAGATTGATAGAATTGAAGCCCTTCCGGCTGAGGTGTGCCATCTGGTTCACTGTTAGAAGCCATAATGCCATGTGTATGCAATCTATAATTCTGAGCACCCTTGGGAAACTCCCAAAGCTATTGGCATGTTGTTGTCTCGCTACCTGTCTTACTAACTTTCTGTGGAACTGAAGCAAACTTATACAATCCTGGACAAATTGGCTTCCGGTATTAATTTGGTGCATTGATCACTATTTTCATATTTTCAGAAAATACCATTTGCCACTTACATTGCTTAGAGGAAACTTATAATTTTTATTTGAACAGAGAAAATGGTTAGATTTCAATTTCCCTTCTTTTCAATGCCTTGGGACATCCTCCTGATGTGAAAGGCACTGTATAACCAGCTTTGGCCATCTCACCAGTTCTGGCCAGGCTCCACTGGCTCTCCATTACCGAACGGATTGACTTCAAGATCCACACACTCATATTCAAATCACTTCATTCCCTGGCACCTCCCTCCCTCTCCAACCTCCTCACTCCCCAATCCACTATCTGGCACCTTTGGTCAACTGGCACCGGCCTCCTGCACCCTCCGCCCCTGCGCCCCACCATTTTCATGTCCTGCCTGAGAACCTTCCTTTTCGACCGTGCTTACAGTCACCTTCCCCCCACCCCGGCTCAGAGTCAGACTCCGCCATTGTTAAGTGATCTGAGACTCTGCCCTGTGTGGAAGGTGCTATATAAGTGCACATTGTTGTTGTTGTAGTATAAATGCAATTTGTTGTTGTCACTATTCATGCACAAATTATCCTGACAGGAAAAGAATATAGATGGTTACCTCATAGAATGAAAGAGGAAAGTCTTCAGGTGGTATTATCTGAAGACAGGTAAAGAGGAGGTGAGGTGGAGGCATTGAGCAGGGAGTTCCAGAGGATCAGAGCATTATATTAACATTGAGACATCCATCATTATGAAAGAGACATTGTCCAAGAAAAAATCCTTATCCAGCTCAGGAATGCAAGACCTCCCAAACCAAATACCACAAAAGCCTGGGAACTCATTGCCAACAGCTTCACAATGGGTAAACCTTGGCAAGAGACCTAGAAACATTTCCATGCTGTTTTTTTTCAAAGGCGGGGTGGGGGATGCGGTGGCATACATTTAAAATGTAGGTGCAAGATTGGAAGTGATAATGTATCAGCTGTTTTGTGCTATAGCATTGCAGTTTGCCTTAAGTAGGAGGCAACTGTCTCATCTCTAGCCTCTCATGTAAAAATCATCATCTTTTTTGTGGAAATATCTGGAGTCAATTGGTCTTCATAGAATAATAGAATCATAGAATATTACAGCACAGAAAGTGGCTATTCGGCCCATTGTGCCTGTGCCGGCTCTTTGGAAGAGCTACCAAATCAATCTCACTCCTCAGTTCTTTCCCCACATCCTTACAATTTTTTGCATTTCAGACTGTAAAAACTCGCTGTGTAAAAATTCTCATCTCCTCTCTGGTTCATTTGTCAATTATCTTAAATCTATATGCCCTGGTTACTGACCCACCTGCCAGTGGAAACAGTTTCTCTCTATCTACTCTATCAAAAACCCTCATAATTTTGAACACCTGTATTAAATCTCCCCTTTCTCTGCTCTAAGGAGAGCAATCCCAGCTTCTCTAGTCTCTCCACATAACTAAAGTCCCTCATCCCTAGTTCCATTCTGGTACCAAATCCCCAATTCTAAAATTCCGATCTAAGGTCAGGGATAGTTGGCTGATGATAACGGTGCCATGTATTGATCCAAGTTTCTGAGCAATAAAAAGATCCTTGATAGGGCACCACCGACCACCTATGCATTGCTGTCTCTCTAACTGATGTTCTACCCCTCTGTGGAAATGGATGAACCTGTGACCGCCCTCCTCTGGAACAGTACATCAGTCATGTATTAACTGCAAGGGGACATTGAACTGTGGCTAATGCACAATTTAGTTAGCACAATGTTCAAGTGGCAAAATAAAACTTTCAGTGAAATTGAATTTTATAGGTAAAACATTTCTAGTCATAATTGAGGCAGTCACTTTATCGGTTGCAATTTGATACACTCGAAGATCTACTCCCTGACAGAGCCTTAGGCCATAAATCAAGAAAATGCAATAAAAAAAACTGGAAACACGTTCATTGATTGGTTGGTTGGTTGGTCGGTCAGTCGGTCGAACGAACATGGACACTTACCTAGACTAATGCAAATGTTCGGAGAGCCACTTGTTGACAGTCCCACAGGCCATTTCTGGCCATGGGTTCCCGATCACTGTCTTAGAGACTACTTCTTCATTATTACCAGCCATAATGGAGATACAAGTGTAATTTGTTGTTGTTGTTTTTGTAATAATGTGCCTCTTTATAATACGGGTTCACGTATAAGGCCAGACGACAATTCTCACTCTAAAACCTGACTGACTTCCAATTCGTTAGGTAGGCACTGACATCACATCTGTGGGAAGACTATGCACAGGTAGTCCCACTAATGTCATTTTGCAAAGAAAACGTTGCAGAGGATATGTCTGACAACCTTGAAGTTAGGATATTTTTAGCACGGGAAGACGGAGTACACATGTGCAACATACAGCAAGCTGACGATTAGGAAACCAGCTATTTTTCAATGTTTCATTATAACATTGGAGTGTGAGACATTGGACAGCATTATAAGCAGTTGTACTGTTCTGTCCTAGTATGAGGATCAATTTGTAGCTAAACCTATAAATTGAATCTGAACTTTAAATTATTCTAAAATTCTTATTTGATGAAACATAGTATCCACCGATCAAGCTAATGAATTACTGCGACACCTCTAGACTTAAAAGTGAGATTTTTTTTGTGAGATCCTGAATTGATGAGTCTGGCCCAATTTGAAGATCATGAATGTGAAAAATAACATGCCTGAAAAGAGTCATTATCTATATATAACTTCTTTGGAGTGAAGTCTGAATAATTATGTTAAAGAACTGTAGTGAATGCAGATTACATATTTGGGCAAACTATTTCAGTGGAGTTCCTGAGCTGCAAGACAATTTACCATCTGTGATTAACTCAAGACACTTTGCTAAGTTTCTAAGCATTTACAGCCCCCTTTATGCTGTCAAATTCCATAACTCATTAAGACTAATTCATCTTGAGCGCTCGTGAATTAAATTAAAAAAATAAACATTTAACTCTTCGTAATTGATATAGTTAGAATGGAGAGATTGATGCTGAAATCCACTTTTAAAAAGTAATATTTGGCAAATCATGAAGTTGGAGTGAAATGTAGCTTTCTATAAGAAAGTTCTGCCGAAGGGTCATGGACCCGAAACGTTGACTCACTTTCCTTTCTCCGTAGATGCTGCCTGACCTTCTGAATGTTCCCAGCGATGTTTATTTTTATTTTAGCTTTCTATAAGAATTTGGTTAGACAACAACAACAAAATTATATTTGTAGAACTCCATTCACGTCGGGAGGATGTCCCAAAGCGCTGGGACTGTATTTGTTTGAGTAAAAATAGAGGTTCATAAACTTCTTTATACGGTTTACATAATTTAATGTAAAATATATATGATTTAAGTGACACTAGGAGCACTGTCACTGATATGTTCAAGGAAGTGTGTCACGTCTGTATTAAAACAGTTATACACCAGCATTAATAGTACAACATAATCTGTCAAGGTTTGATTTATAAATAGATGCAGTAAATTGTATCATGCAGAAGAAAGATTTATAACTTATTCTCAAGAACATTAATTTATATCTCCCTTTGCCTTTTGACATAACGTGCACAGTGGTAGCAAAGAATATTCACTTATAAAGATATTTACCTAGGTTTCCGAAATGTTGTCTTTTGGCGTGCTGATCTGAAGAAGTCACAAATCATTGTAATCCTGCTTAGACTTACACATCTACAATCAATAATTTGATATATGATGGGGTTGTACATTGCTGCTGACTTTGCAAGCATTGTCGGTATTACAGAAACCTCAATTGGCACTGAATTAGGACTCCCGAAAGCTGACCACACTGATGCAACTGCATACGGGATCCAAGCAAACATGAAACCTCCACATATAAATATTGCCATCTAGTGTGGGAAAAAAGAAAAAGTAGTCTGTTAACTTTGCAAACCATACTCCATATTAATCAATCCAATAATTAGATTTCATTATTTAAAGCAACAAGAAAATATGAAATAAGCATCAAAATCTGGGAGAAAATTTTGAAAACTGGAATAGAAATTCTGTTGATCAGAATAGTGAGTTCAAAGCCAAAACAATCTCAGTCAGAATTCTTCCTATTCACTTTGCCTTTCAAAAGAAAAGGAAAACCTGGCAGGAACATTATAAGAAATAATGGATGCTTAACAAAATTCCTGCTTAAGTAGACTAAAGCTTTGCTCTACCTCAGAGCAAGTAGACTTGCGAACTTGGTATCACAGTTATTTTCTTAATGGAAATGGGTCTTGCATGAGCACCACCAAATGGACAATAAAGCCAACTCTATGTTAAATTAACATAATAAATATCATTAGAAACTAAGACAACAAACATTTTATATATGCGCTAGACAAATGAACAAAAATACTAGTTACCTTTGTTAGATTCATTTCCAGGCTATGGTGATTTTGAATTCTTGAATCAAAGTGGGCAACTTCTTTGGCAGATGACTTAACTTTGGCTATGATCTTTATGTATGAAAATACTATGATAATTATTGGAAGCAAGAGGCAAAAGAATAGTATTGTCAGAACGAAGATTAGTCCAGATACAGAGACCCGTGCAAGCCACCAGTCCAGAGTGCAGGATGTACCAAAAGGTTCTGGAGCATAGTTCCCCCATCCAACCAGCGGCATTGTAGCCCAAAATGCAGCGTAAAACCAGATGAAAGCTAAGGACATGAAGACATGACGCCTTTGAAGCCAACTACCTGCAAAATTATTTAAATCATTTTAGACATGCTATTGAAAAAGCAGTTGGTTTGAATAACGAATTTAGAAATTTTAAATTGATGGGTTACTTACCATATTGCAAATGACAGATTTTTAAGTATCTGTCCAAGCTTACAACAGTCATTGTGATAAGACTCCCGCAACCAAAGAAAAATCCTGCCCATCCGTGCCAGCGACAGCCGACCCATCCAAATATCCATCGATGTGAAAAGCAAGATATAATCAGAAAGGGTTGTCCTCCAACTGAAAAAGAAATATGCATGTATTTTAATAAACCTGTTAATTTGATACAGAAATAGATATAAATATAGAGGCACATATCCACCATGGATGGGATGGAACTTGCTAATGGAAAACTCAAAGAGATCTAGGAGTGTTAGATGACTCATCACCCGCCATGTGAAAACAAGGTGAGGCAACAAGAGGCAAAATTGAGTCCAAATCCCTACATGTTGACATTGTACAGTTCTCTGGCGGGGTCACAACTCGAGCACTGCAGTCCAGGTCATCACAACATATTGATACTGCATTATAACAGGGTTCCACTGAAATATTATTGACATGTTCTAATTTTGTTTTTGTTTCATCAATGGACTTTATTGAAATAACTTATTATTTTACAGCTATTTGGTTCTCTAATCTACAATTAGTCTATGATTCTGAAGTCATCTATTTTTAGCGTGGAAGCCTTCCAGTGAATGGGAAAGAAGCTAGCTGACTGAGTGGAGGTACAGTGAACGGGGTTCACACCCCATTTGAGTTATAAATGAAGCACATTATAATAGTTATTATTATAATAGTTTACCTGACATTCCAAAATCACTGATTGCAAGGTTGGTTATCAATATTTCAGGAGGTTTCAATTTTCTCTTTTGTGTGATTGACAAGTAAATCACGTATCCATTCCCCAGTGTTGAAAGCAGCCCTTAAAAAGAAAGGAAAGTAGATATATCCTCTCTTTGACAACATCGATAATGCTACAATTTTAATATTTGAACAGAATTATTTTGTACTCTACATCTTATTCTCTCTATCAACACAATTCTCAGATAACATAACCTTGCAATAATTATTTTAAATTTTGCAACTGCTTCATAGCATGTACAAAAGTTATGAAAGTGTAACAAGTATAAAAATGAAAAGAGATGCAGTTAATGTTTATTTGGATTTCAGGAAGGTGTTCAATAAGGTGTCACATAGAAAACTTGTGGCCAAAATTAAGGAACATTAAGGCACAGATGACAAGGTAAATAAATAATAATAATAATCCTTGCATTTGATATAGCACTTTTCAAGTCTTCTAGACATCTCAAAGCGCTTCACAGAATATACTGTGAAGTGAATTGACCGTATATTTGTGGGCAAAATAAAGTGGATAGAGGAATCGTTGAAGCCATGTGGAAATTAAGAGATGATTTTCTGAACAGTAGTTAGTGGCATGCCTCAGGTATAATAATAATAATATTCCTTGCATTTGATATAGCGCTTTTCACATCGAGAGGACGTCCCAAAGCGCTTCACAGAACACACTGTAAAGTGAACTGACTGTATATTTGTGGGCGAACACGGCAGCCAATTGCACACAGCAATGTCCTACAAACAGTCATATGGATTGAAAATGACCAATTTATTATTGTTTTGTTTTTTTGGAGGGATTATTATTAGGCCTGTGGAGTAAGGAAACTTGCCCAAGGTTTCACCCTGCCTGGAATTGAACTTACGTCTCTCGCTTGCGAAGAGAGTGCTCTAACCACTGAGCTACAGGACTCCACGGGGTATTAGGACCTCTCTTGCTCCATGATCTATACGCAGAAATTGAGAGAATATCTAAATTCATGGATTATACTAAATTATGAGGTGGTGTTAATAGGGGCAAACAATGCAGGAAATTCCAGGCAGATATTAATAGGTGAGTAGAGAGGGCAGATTTATAGCAAAATATGATGTCATGCATTTTGGAAGAAAGAATAAGGAGCAGAATTATACCCTGGGTGGTAGATGTTGCATATTGGTTTAATTACTTAATTGGTCATTGGATATTGACAAAGAGAAGCAAACAAGTATAAAATGATTCTGGGAAAGTGACTGTATTTCAAAGTGATGGTGGAAGAAAGTGTGAAGTGTAAGGTTTAAATAAAGCAACTAGTGAATCGAAACTGTTTTGGATTACAAACATTACAATAGAGTTCTCAATGTGGTGAAGGAATAGAGGGATCTCTGGGTACAAATACATAGCTTACTAAAAGTGCAATTGCAGGTAATGAAAGGGTGTTAAAGGGTAAATGGGATTTTGAATACAATGAATGCAAAAGCAAGAAAGTGATGATGAATCCATAAGACATTGGTTTATTCTGCAGTCTTGGGCACCACATTATAAAAAGAATAGAGCAATGGAGAGGGTGCGGCTTAGGTTTATGAGAGTGATACTGGAGATGAAGATATGAGGAGAGACTAGAGCCGTTAAGACTTTTATAATAATAATAAGTCTTACATTAGATTTAGCGTCTTATTACATCATTGAGATGTCTCAAAGGTCTTCACAGGATATACTGTAAAGTGGTTTGACTGTGTATATTGTGGGTGAAACATAGCAGTCAGCTTGCACACAGCAATGTCCCACAAAACAGCCTGGAGTGAGTGACCAATTTTATATAGGTCGAGTGGAAGAGAGAAAGATAGCTTCCTGGAGGAGCAAACACCAATACAAACAAATGGGCTGAAAGGCCTCCTACTCTGTTGTACATTTCTATGCTTCTATAGTTCAGCTTTTAGTCACAATACTTAAAGATCCTAGCACTGCTGCAGTTGGCTATGTAACCATCTATGAGTGGAACTCTTTCAATTCAATACAGAGCACCTATTAGAACACATAATACAAACCTCATGGACACCTTCATATAACACACAAACCTAGAAGCATGAAACAGATTAAACATACACATCATCAATACAATACAACTCCAATTGGATAATGTTTGAGAAGTGTTTTGCAGTTTTTTTTAAATAAAGATTAAGTTGTGCAAAAGGAAAACAAACATTTTGGATGCCAGAGAGTAATTCTGAGATACAAACAATATCCTCGTATAGTACAACAATTTGCATTTAGTGATTTCAATGGTTCTGAAAAACTTGCTCCTATATTGTTTCCTGCAATAGATACTGTAATGGTTACTGAAATATATATATAGGTGGTAAGGAAGTCACCAGAACATCTCAAAGCGCTTCACAGGATTTACAGTGTATTAGGTAGGTGAATGTTGCAGCCAATTTGTGCACAGCAATGTCCCACAAACAGCCATAAATTGATTGATCAATTTTAGCTGGGGTACACTGGTCAGGACCCCAGGAGAAACTCTCTTCTCTTTTCATACACTACTATGGCATTTGAAGCGCTTCGGGAAGCCATCCGGAATGAAAGGCCCTATATAAATGCAAGTTGTTGTTGTTGAAGGCTGCTGAGGTCTTGGTTTAATGTTTCATCCAAACAATGGCCCATTGACAGCAAGATACAGTGTTACAGAAAAAAAGGCATGTAATAAATGGATTGTTTGGAATTATAACAAAGTATTACAGATAGATGAGGCTTGGGGGTAGAAGGGCACAATGCATCAGCACGCCATTTAGATTTGTCACAGAAACAGAATCCAGACTGTTGTGAAATGTTAGACTAATGTGAAAATGAACCACACACACACAGAGATTTGATTTACAGTTACAAGAAATGTAATTTATTCAGGTTTCTTTACATTTTGAGAGAGAAACAAAATTTTATTATTTTGTAGGATTTAAACTAACTACATTTTGCAGTTGAAAGTATGATATTTGTAAAACAAAGGTTGCTGCACTAATAGTGATTTCTGGACTATGAATTAAATTGCAGGATTTGGTAAAATTGGATTTTTTTAAAAAGGAAAAAACTCCTCTTCCAAAGGTTGTTGTTTTCCTTCTCAACCCCTTTACGGAGTTTCTAGGCTTTTTTTCAGCCAAGAAATAGCCTAAAAGCAAAACATAGCCATTCATTTTGCTTAAAGTCATAATCTCAACTAAATTTCTGCTTTCATCGTTAAGGAACTCAGTCCCCCTACCTCCACACGATCCCCTTTATATCTTGATGCATATAATAATAATAATCCTTGCATTTGATATAGCGCTTTTCACATCTTCTAGAATTCTTAAAGCGCTTCACAGAATATACTGTAAAAGTGAATTGACTGTATATTTGTGGGCGAATATATTTGTATATTTGTGGGACATACTTAAAAGTTGCAAATTTTGAAACAGATCTTTTTTGTTTTGAACCAAGCATACTAAATACAACAATTGCTGGACTTTTCTTTCACCACAGATAATTGGCACAATCTCTGAGATGTTAACTGTACTGACGCAAATGCGCTAAGAATAAAGTTGTTTACTGTTAGAACTAGGCTTGTGATCATCTGTCATGTATGAACCATTCATTACATATATTTTAAAAACACAATTACTTTTTTCATCGTTGTGGATAGTATAGCTTTACTGAACAGTTTTTCTTTATTTTCTACTAAATTTAAGTTCTCCAGAAAAAAATTATGAAGAATGTGGATTTTTAATTTTTGCCTTAACTTATTTTAATGACTAGGGAAATGGACGATCAAAGGACGAGCAAAGCGAAGTAGGGTTTGCCTAAAACAAAGTAGAATTTGCCTGTTTGTCTATTCTATCTCTCTGGGAGTTTGTTCAGTGTCCAGCAAGGCAGCACCCCTCCAGCATTGCACTGAATCCTCAGCCAAGACGATATGAGTTCAACGTCCTGATGTGAGGCTTGTATCCACAATCTTCCAACTCAGATGAGAGTGCTACCAAATGAGCCAGGCTCACTCACAATAAATACTAAGAGCAGAGAATGATACAATGTGACATCTATGCACCATTGTATTCTATAGTCATGTGTGCCATGTATGCAATAGTACAGTTCTTTCACGTGTGTGGGTGGTGAAGAGGAGGGAGAAAGATTGTACCTGCTGTTGGACATCTGATTGTTAGTGTTATTATGGAGAGGAATATTACCGAGGATGAGAAAGTATTCTGTGTAAAAGATATTCCACAGCAGAGTGTCATACCCAGTAACATCAGCGACCAGTGACTGAGGTTGTCCAGCACAGAGAATAAATTTGTGTGCATTATTACAACCATGACTACAGTCACACTGCATAATTGAGGCTAACATTTCAGTTCTTGTGATTATCGCAGTATTCAACTTCCATGTTTCGAGCAACTTCAAGACACCTACAGGAGAATTTCTACAACAAAAAAGGTCATCATTCCATTAACATTGAAAGACAGATAATAACAAACAGTAACAGAAACATCATATACATCAATGCCTAGTATCCAGGGTCTTATCACAATACTTTTATATCAAAACAATTGCTGTTAGCTTGGCTCAGTTGAAGGTCCTCTCTGAGTTCAAACCCACGTCAGGACTTTAACTTATTGTTCAGTGCAATATTGGAGAGTCTTTACAGGTGAATATTCTGAAATTGGAAAGCGAATCCTGCCTCCTAATTTTTACCTAAATCTGGAGAGTATTAGGCACTGGTTGGTGATATCCAAGCCTTGAGGTTGCCATAGAGTATCCTGGAATACAGCTAGAGTTGAATCATCTACAACCACATAGTTTGTCCATAACAGTACTGACTGGCAAGCTTTTCTTCTGCTTGTCCAACTAGGATCACTCTATCCTGCAAGACAAAGTTAAAGCGGTGTCTTACAGATTTAACAGGAGCCAAAAAAGGAAGAATCCCTGTCCCACTTGTGGAGATTCTTTTAGTCCTGCCAACCAATCAGGCTAGCTAGTCAGTCAGCAGCAATATCTTGGTGTACTGTGGACCTGCCTGGCTCAGAAATCAAACTATTGAGACCGCCACAGAGGGATGACTCAATTCTGACATTCCATTGCCAAGTATGTCACCTTGAATCAAGCTCAGCCCCAAGGATAGTGGCAATGCTCTCATACGTTTCAGGTTGAGCTGTGCTGCTCACCACCAAGTTCACAGGTTGTTCCTGCTACCCGCTATTTGCCAAGTGAAGGCTCCAACCTACTCTTGTCAGAATATCAAATTGGGAAGATGTTTCGTTAACTAAAACATTTTTTCTTTTCAGCTATTTCTGCTTTCAGCCATAAAATGGATTTGCCTTGCACAAATATCAGTTTTGTGCGCAGATGTTTTTATCAGATCACCACTATTATGTGCTTCACTCTGTGAGCCCTCACCCAAAGTTGCACTACTCTCCCTGCACATAGCTCTGCACTACCTTCTCTGCTAATAGCTAGGCTACGTGACTATGCAAATGATGAATCTAATTGCACCTAGTGATGGCTGAGGTCATCTCTATTGCTGGTCCGGGGTACTGTTGATTCTGTGTCTTCCTCTGACTCCCCCTGAAGCTCTGGTGCTGTTCTTGCAGCAGTCAATGGTTCTCCTACAATATCAAACGGAAATAAGTAATCAATCAATAGCCAGGACAAAAATAAGAGGTTGGTTACACGCTTTCTTTCTTTCACACATTGATTGTGAAATATCCATGTTTTAATAAGAATGTTTTGGCAAAGCTTGACAAAAAGCCAGTCAGTCAGTCACGATCATTTTCCACATTTGCACATGCTTACTATGAGCCTGGTGGGAGGTTTGGAAAATTAATTTGCACATGGCCAAATTCAGTAAATCACCTGGTCGCTGCAATCCTCATGGTTTATGAGCGTTATTTAATTCTAAGGTCGCCTTCATAATAATAATTATAATCGTTAAATTTATTATATCATTACATTTCATGTCAGGAGGACGTTTAATAGGATATACTGTAAAGTGTAATGACTGTGTGCCCTCTTGTGTGCATTATCCTATATGCATTTGTCTTATGTTAAGAGATAGGCAGAAGAACTGAATCAGTTGCTAGTATTTCATAACATATGACTTCCGACAACTTACATTTACCATTACATCTTGAACGGTAAAAGCAGTGAATAATTAGAAATTTCATTATGAAACTCAAGTATAACTAGAATGACACTAACCTTGGCAACTGTCACTTTTCTTTAAATCAGACAGCTTCTTCTGTATCTCCTTCCATATCCATCTCTTTGACTAAATCCACAAGATAAGGTCATTCATTTTTCTAGACTCCTACTGTCCCACTAGAGTCGAAGAGGTTTTGACCTCTCTGCAAAAGCACATTTATTAATACCACAATGGGGTTTCCCTAAACATTCAGCTTCTATTGGAGTCATGGAAGTGCTCCTCCTAACTCGCCGCAATTTGTACTTGCTCCATCACAGCTCTATTTTCTCCCATTCATAATGTTTAAATGACGACCGAAGCTCTTTGCTTGTCACTGTTTCAGTCCATATGCAGAATCTAAATACATAAACAATGAACAACAGAGAAAGCTCTAGCCAAAGAGTGATGCTCAAGTGTGAATGCACAGTCAATCTGTACGTCACTTTATGCACCAAGCAACATAATGTAAACCCAACATAAAAGTCAGAAGGCCTGAAATCTCCAGAGCCAAGCATTGAAGGAGTCAATGTCAGTTTATGGCATCGGAAGGGATTGCACCAGTTCAGTTGAGCTTGTGTACTTCTGGACAATCAGGCATCTTTCCTTCAACGCCAGGTAAGTGAGAAACAGCACAACCAAACACATTTAGGGGCACTGAACACCTGGTTAATAGGATTAACAAGCTTCTGCCACCTAGCAACCATATAATAGGGCTGAACTACCCAAGCTTGGAGCACAGTCATTTTGCTTTACCAAATGCAAGGAACCTGACCTGTAACTAGCGAGTTAGTGGAATCTGGACGTGCTCTTTTGCCTTCAAAAGCAGTGCTAACCATCCTTGTATTGCTAACCATTGAGTCAAAACATACTAGCATGTCAATCTTCTGCACAGTTGCCCTGAACAGTGTAAGATTGTGTGTAAAATGTACCCAGAGATCAGGGGTCAAATTCATCTTTATTAAACCTTACACCACAATAATGATATAATACAAACACAAATTACATTTGTCTAGTGCCTTTCACATCAGGAAGACCTCCCAAGGCGCTGGATCTCCCAACTTGAAAGGCGGTTTACAAATGTAATCTTGTATTGTGTTGTATCTTTGAAGGCAGAGTTTTGGCATATGTAATCAGTGAAGAATATGTAATGACAATTATTAGCAAATAAATAGAACTTGAATGCATACATATATACTTATCAGTCTCTTCCACATACAAATCGTGAAAGATTATTGCAATAGTGCATTGTTGATTAATTAAAAATGAAGAGTTAATAATGCAATTAATATCATTATACGCTCATAACTCCATGAGTTGCAAAGGAAAGCCAAGTGTATGTTAATTAAATACATAGAGATATAAACATGGCCCCAAAATGACCAAACATTACAAAAACGAAAATAATGGTAGCCTTACAACTCTCTCACTAGAAGCAGCTACAAATAATAGACTTGTCATTAGACTAAGAATCTGCAGCAGTTTCCTAAAGGCATTTTATTCCCTTCATCTACAATATCTGAGGGTGTCACTTAGGTATTGTACCTTTCCGACCCAATCAATAAGTGTGTGAAGTCTGTAAACTATGAAGGAGCTTGTAAATCAAGTCAACGTGCCTGTAGTCATGAGTTGCGTGGGTCGGTCAAGGTAGTTTATCCTCTTAGTTAGCTTCAGCTTGTACGTTGCATTTTAAGAAGGTAGAGAAAATTTGTTTCTGCGACCCACTGCCAGAAACACAGCAATGTAACCCCAAGCTTCCTCCATACAGGCTGGAGCCATTCCTCCACTAGCAGCATGTTGATCCCCTGTAGCTGACAGAAGGCTGCCCACTTACAATGCCATTGATGGAAGCTGCCATCAGCTCCAGTTGTTGGAGGAAACGCTGTTGTTTGGAACACTTGGTGATACAGGAGTCATTTGGGGAAAGGAAACAGTTCGAGTCGCCAGAGGTTTGGCCCCTGAGTTGGAGGCCAAAACTTCAGCAGAAGTGAAGTAGGTTTGTGAGGAAGGCAAACACGGGAGAATCAACATTTTGGTCAACCAAGCGATGCCAGGAAAATTCCACAGGACATGACAGGGTAGAGTGCCAAATCACAATGTAATCATTAGCCCCTAAGTCACTCCAGATATATGAAGGAATGTCTCGACCTGCACGAGTGCCAATTATTGTTTCTATTGGCACCAACAAAAATATCACCACATCCATCAATATGCTTTCATTGCTTTCAGCCATCTTTCCTCTTTCACTCATCTCTGCTCCCACCCTTAGCTTGGATGCCCAGCCAGTACTATTAAGTACTTTGGGACAACCTACCAATGTGAAAAGCACTATATAAATGGACATTGTATTGTAAATGTGTATTATGTTATTACCAACATTGCAAAGGCTTCTCAAGGCTAGGATTCAGTGGGAGAAAAGAGTCTTCTCTGTAGTTGAAAGAAATCCCTGATAAAAGTAGCTGCTTCTAGCTACACAAGCACTCCATGAGGCAGATATTTATGGCTGAAAACAGCAACAGATGAAAGAATATTTCACTTAATATTACAAGTTCTCATTCCTCTGACCTCAATAGGATATTCAATGTTGTGGGTGATAGTCAATCAGTAAAAAGATCTTTTCACCCAAACTTAATTTTTATAAAAGAAGTTCGCCAATTTGGTGTCGATGATTCTTGCCATCCGGTCCACTTCTAGTTCCAGGAATGCACTCACAGTACAATGTGCAGGCAGGTGAGTTTCTGAACAGATTCAAATTCACGCAGATTCATTAAGCAATTATCAATGAGCAAATTTCGTAACAAATAGTGGAATTTACAGTAAAGCCTAAAGACTGTATTTTGGGGCAATCAACACCTAACAGGATCCCACAAACAACAATGAAGTGAATGTCCAATTTAACTCCAAATGCATGTCCAAATTCCATCTCCGTCAGCCAGGAATATCTCCCAACCCATTCTGAATTTTGTCAAAGGATGTTTAACGTCCACCTAAAGAAGCAGTCGGTACTTTGATTTAACATGTCATCCGCAAGATAGCACGTCCAACAATGTGGTGGACTCCATTACAACTGAGGCAAGCTGACACATTTATTACGTCTACATTAAAAAAAGTTGGTAATCGTGCTCATAGCAGACCACAATTCCACAATTCCACAGTACAAAAGATGAAATACATTTTTATACCACTATAACATCAAACCATTTTAAAGGTTTTAATTATGTTTATGCGCAGCTTTATATAGGCAAATACTGCTGCTGTTTGCATCAGGGAGATCCTAATTTCCTCCCACTATACCCATGAGTGAATGACCAGTGACTCTGGAGATCTTGGACAGAACATCAGGACAAACTCCCTTCTCTAGTGAACAATCTCATAAGATCATTAACATCTTATCCAAAGAATGGTATCACTGACAATCATGCATTGGAAGTCACCCATCTCCACTGTTGCAAGAGTATCAGCCTAGACTAAGAGTTCAAATCCCAAAGTAAGGCATGAACCCTGGCAAGGGTACTACCAACTGAAGAACATCTTATATTGCACTTAATAGATGTTCATTTTGACATATTATACCCCATTTAGAAACATGCCTAAATTGAAAACTATATTGTCTTACCTGTGACTATTAAGTAACAGGCTGATATTATATCAGCTTCCCAGGAAAGTTTGGAAACAAATGGATCTCCATGGAGTGAATCATGCAGCCAATATCCTGAATAGAGAGCTGTACTGTTGTCAAAGGCTGTCATTACTTCATATAGTTCACTGCCTTAAAAATGAAAAATATTCTGTTAGTGGGCTTTATTCTAAAGAGCAAACTACATCTACATTCATCTTATTAGCTGGTTTCTGACTTATACCCAAGTTGAAAGAGTGTTTACAATAGTTATGAACTTCCACCACTATTTAAGTGCAAACTAGGGGATTCAAATCAAGTTACTGTGCATTCCAAGATGAATGAGATGTATTGCCTTTTCGTATCAAATTATTTAAAGGAGTCTTCAGAAGTCACTATGAATTACAATCCCTTCCCATTATAATCTCCATGGAGTTCAAAAAAAATCACAGGATTAGTTTAGATTAAGAAGGCCCTTTGGTCCAATTGATCTCACCCTTCCAAGATACCCCCCTACATCACAGTATCAATCTGTTTTTAAATGAATCTTATGCTCTGGCTTCAACCAACCTTCCTGATAGACTGTCTCAATTATTAATTACTCTTTGAAAGTATAGAAGGGATTTAAATAATACTGTGATTGTTATTACTCAACTTTTATTTTATCTAAAATCAGGAGTTTGAAGCAGTACACCTTACACTTTACACAACAGTGTAGCAATTTTCTGATACAATTTGAACCGAGCTGGTGGTTGGGATCAGAAGGGATGAAGGGCCAGGAAGCTCGGGGTAGGAGGGTGACCGAAGGCAAAGTTGAAGAGGAGGATCTTGAGACAGGTCTTGAAGGAGGTAAGGGAGGGACAAGATGGAGGGATGGAGTTCCAGAGGATGGGGGCAGAGAGGCTGAAGGCGCGCCTGCCAATAATGGTGCAGGCAAGGCGGGGGACATGATGCAGGCCGGAGCCCACTGAGTGGAGGGAGCGGGCAAGTTAGTAGGGGGTTAGGAGTTAGGAGGTGGTGAGGCGCAAGGCCGTGGATGGCTTTGAAGGTGTATCCTCTGTGTAATGGGAAACTAGTGGAGTCGTGCGAGGATGGGGGTTATAGAGTCGCGGAGCCTGGTGTGGAAGAGGACCCGACCTGCAGAGTTCTGGGTGATATGCAACCTGTGGAGGGAGGAGTTGGGGAGATCAACAAGCGGGGAGATCAACAAGCAGGGAGTTTGCGTAGTTGAGCTTGGATATGATGAATTCATGGATGAGGGTCTTGGAAGCCTGTGATGAGAGACAGTGGCAGAGCCAGGCAATAATGCGGAGGTGGGGAAAGGAGGAGCAGGTCATGGCATGGATGTGGGGGATGAAGGATGAAGGACCACCTGCTATCAACAACCAGCCTGGTTGAAAATCAGTCCTGACTGATTTTCCATAATTAGATTTTCGTCTATTCAACAACCACCTGCCTAAAGCAACCAGTCGCCACACTTTTAATTTTCAGACACAGTCAATGAACCAATGCCTTACTCAGCCCTTCAAATAATACAAGAGCTGTTGCTGAAGGATATTGATATGGTTCTTTGATAGTTTGTAAAAATTGGTTTAGTTGTGGCATATAAAAAAAGTCAGCTGTCACAAGACTTTTATTATAATTGAAAATGATGCATTTTTCAAGCTAATTGGAGCCAACACCAATACTTAGCTAATTTGGGGCTTTTCATCCATGATCATGTTTATTGGTCCCCTACTGAGCTGTTAAAAATTGCAGGAATTTTGTGCTGCTTCAATAGTCAAGCTACACAGTTTTAGCTGTGTTTTCTCCAGCAGTACGCTAATGCACACCCTGAATTCCCCAAACCTCGACTCCTGATGGTTCCATTCCAACAATCTATAACTGGAATTTCCATTTATGGGTGGGATACATGGAATTCTCATGGTCTGAATACTCTTAATAATAATAATAAATAATAATAATAATAAAGGGCGAGAGAGACATGCACAAGGTTTTACAATTTTAACATTCCTGTGTTCTTTCCTTGATATTTTTTAAATCATATAATGTATTCACTAATGTTGAATAAAATAAATCCATTATGGTTTTTGTTCAAAGTTTCAATTTTCACCTACAAAGCTAATAATAACAATAATAATCCTTGCATTTGATATAGCGCTTTTCACGTCTTCTAGATGTCTCAGAGCACTTCACAGAATATACTGTAAAGTGAATTGACTATATTTCTGGGTGAAATGTGGCAGCCAATCGCATACAGCAGTGTCTCACAAACAGTCATGGATTGAGTGACCAAATTATTATTTTATTTTATTTTTTCTTGAGGGATTATTATCAAGCGTGGAGTAAGGAAACTTGCCCAAGGTTTCGCCCTTGGAGGAAACCCTTTGCCCTTTTAAAAAGATTAGATATGCCTGTAGGTTTCAGGATTCCAACAAAGCAGGGGAATGGAGGTGTTAATAATGCAAAAAAGGGGGAAAAAATTGCAACAAAATAGGCAGACCAGAGAGAGAAAAGGTGTGTCTGGGACCCAGATGATATGGTAATGGTCACAGAAGAGGGGGTGTGGGGGAGGTGAGCTGTTATGGTCTGAAATTGTTGAAATCAATATTGAGGCCAGAGGGCTGAAAGATTCTTAGCAGATAGATAAGGTGCTGATCCTCGAGCTTGTGCTGTGACTCATTAGAACATCATAGGAGACCGTGGATGGAGAGGTGAGACCTGTAGCTCAGTGATTAGAGTTCTCACCTCACAAGCGAGAGACCTGATTTGATTCCCGGCAGGGGAATCATTGGGCAAGTTTCTTTACTCCACGGTCTCTCGCTTGCAAGGCGAGTGCTCTCACCACTGAGCTACAGGACTTAATCGAGCAAAACATATCAGTGGTTTGGCCACCAATATTAATACTATTGAAGTAAAATTGCATTTTCTTCTCCTTCCAAAAGGCATCTTAAACTTGTCAACTACGGTGAAACAATTTCTTTCTCTGCTCTCCACCCCAGTTAAAAATAAAACAGCCTTTAATATGGTGTTAGTTTACAATACAGTAATTTTTTAAGGAAGCGAATAGTATTCAACCTTCAACAATTCAATATTTTGCAATAGATTTTTTAAAAAGATTAGATGTATCAGTAGTTTTCAGACTCCCTTTCAAGTTCAGTCAGTGGTAGCAATTGGTGAACAGCAGGTTACTCAGAAACACACCAAGAACTGCAGCAAAACTTGTAAACTTAATTTCATATATATATATTTCAGGAACATTGCAACACTAATTGCCATCAGTAACATTAATAGTATTAATTCCAGAGATCCAGCAATATACTGTAGGTGCTTTGCTTCAATACATGATAAAATCATGCAAGTATTGTTAAATATTCCAGTCTTGATGATTAAAGCAGCTTCTCTTCACAGTGCATATGCAGATTCAAGCAAAATCTTTTCTATATCACAATACTAAACGAACACCAGCTGAAATGGTAATTATCATAGGAGTATATGTATAGTAATGCTACTGTTATTTCTATGTGAAGGGTGCAATATAAATGTTGCTGATATAGTGAAATATAAGTACACATTTCAGGTTCTTTTAATCGGTGTTCAAATGCCACTGAACTGTTACACTTTAATTCCCATAATTAGATTATGAACTAGCTATAATTATTTTACCATTCAGAGGCAAAAAAAAATAAAGTCAAGATTTTCCAAGGTCTAAAGTCATTCTCTGATGCATTCACTCATAGACTGCTATGGATGATCTAAAACAGGTGACGTTCTTAACATTTAATGATTAAGTAAAATAGTCTACATTACATAACTTGGCAACATTCTGTTACCTCGTTAGTTTATTCTTACAAAAAGAAAGTATAGAGTCAGAGAACTACAACTTTGAAATGTCACTAAACAGTAATTCGCTGAAAGATAATCAGTATAAATGTTACCAAAAAAGTCATTGAAACATTGACACCAAAACATAGAGACTATTTTAAGAGTGTGCATTTAACTACATGTGTGTTAATCTGCAGTCAAGTTATTTCAGTATTAAACGGTTTAAAGAGTTGCAGTGACACTGGCAATGCTGCATTGTGTAATGCATTGAGATAGAGAAGATCCTAATAAAAAGACATCGTAGCCAGAGAGGAAAGAAATGAGGAGAGAAAAACAAGAGATCTGAAATCAAAGTTACTATAATGACAAAAAAAAAAGCACAAGTATAAGACACTGATTTCTGGTCCTCAGTTAATGATTTCCTTGGGTTTAAAGTTAAAATCTAACCTGTGTTATTTGGAATTCCGAAGCATTCTCCAGCACACAAAACTTCAAAGCAAATCTCAGGAGCCCGTAGGAGAATGAATGGAATCTGATCCCACTGCAGAGCACAATTCACGCTGTCTGTCTGGGAGAGCAGCAGAGACACAGAGCAACATTGGAGGTGAAGGCTGGGCAGGCACTGGGGGAGTGAGTGGACACTGAGATGGAGCCGCTCTGCTCGGCAGGTGGTGATTGCATCTGAACACGCCTTGTCAGGCAGGTCCCTAACACTGCCCCGGCTCTGGTCCTCACTGCCCACATACCCACTGGTGCGCTCCAGTTCAAATACAGCGGTACATGTGGTGAGCTGAGCTTTACGACTTGGCTCATGTGGTCTGTCCATTGCTGACATTCCCATTCACTCTCAAGTCATATTATCTCCAAGTGTATCTTCGCCCTCAGGCAAATTTCACATTTTCTACATTTGTGGTCATGTGAGGAAACTGGCTTAAATGAATGGGTTTTCAGCTGAAGGAAAATGGGAGTTTTCAGTCCAGAGGATAATTAACCCTATGATAGAGAGGGGGGAAAAGGGGGGAACCATTTGCCTGTTCAGCTGGATGTTAAAGATCTCCTGTGGCACTATTCGAAAAGAGAAGGGAGTTTGTCCCGGTGTCCTGGCCAACAATCCCCCAGATAAAGTTGATCATTCACTTTTGGAACATTGCTATGTGCAAATTGGCGGCTGCACTTACCTATAAATATACAGTTTTTAGGGTAATATACCGTGAAGCACTTTGAGACATTTTAATAATGTGATAAGTTATGTATCAAATGCAAGGATTATTATTATTGTAGATATTCTATAGGCTAGAATAATATTAC